TACCATGCTCAATATTCTGGCTTTAGTGTACAGGTCACTTCTGTAGAACATCACACATTCATTTAGCCTTAAATGTAAATATAATTATTAATCTGTATTCTAATCTTAATAAATAACATGAATATTATGCTCTACAGGGATCAGAACAAATACAAGGAAGCTGCCAATCTTCTTAATGATGCATTGGCCATCCGTGAGAAGACACTAGGCATGGACCATCCAGCAGTATGTACTGTTTGAAGATGTAATATGTTACTGTTAATAGTTTGTTTTTATTTATTTATTTTTCTTTGGAAAGTCAATAATGTCACATATGCAATCTATATACATTAGGTCCCTTTCCTTGAGTTTATGTTTCTCTTTGTAGGTGGCAGCTACTCTGAATAATCTGGCTGTGTTGTATGGAAAAAGGGGGAAGTATAAAGAGGCAGAGCCGCTGTGTAAAAGAGCTCTGGAGATCAGAGAAAAGGTACTGCCACAAAAGAGTGAATTGTAGTCCCGCGTGTCCTTTCTAGAACAGCTGTAAAATCAGATTACCTGTACACTAGCGTTTAAAAGTTTGGGGTCAGTAAGATGTATTTTTGAAAGAAAATAATTTATTTAGCAAGGATGCATTAAAGTGATCAAAAGTGACATAAGGCTTTTACATTACATTTGTAAAAAAATAAAAAACGGATTCAAATAACTATTTATCAAAGAATCCTGAAAAAATATCCTGGTTTGCACAAAAATACTAAGTAGCACAACTGTTTTCAACATTGATAATAATAAGAAATGTTTCTTGAGTAGCAAATCATCATCTTGTAATAATGATTTTATAATGACTTTATCCTTATCCAGTAAATCAAGAACAACTGGAAAAGTCATGAAGCCTTTAAATATTGTTGTGGCCTTGGAGTCAAAAAGGTTGAGAACCACTGGCCTAGTCTAAATATCTTGCCTAGCCTATCTTTGTCTATTGACAGGTGCTTGGGACAGATCACCCTGATGTAGCCAAGCAGCTGAATAACTTAGCCCTCCTATGCCAGAACCAGGGCAAATACCAGGAGGTGGAGCAGTACTATGAACGTGCATTACACATTTACCAGAGCCAGCTGGGTCCAGACGATGCCAACGTGGCCAAGACCAAGAATAACCTGGTCAGGATAGGAAATGAGTTTCTTGTCAAGTGCTAGTGTTTTAATAATGATAGTAGTAGTATATTATGCATGCTATATAATATACCATTCATGTGCTCTTCAGGCCTCCTGTTACCTCAAGCAGGGCAAGTACAGGCAAGCTGAGGCTCTTTATAAAGAGATTCTGACTCGTGCTCATGAGAAGGAGTTTGGCTCAGTGGAGGGTGAAGTGAATTTTCTATATACAGTAGTTTGACCTACTAAACATACCTGTCCAACAGTAAATTAATATTTTCACATCTATAAAGGGGATGGACAGCCAGTTTGGATACATACAGAGGAGGGAAGCTCAATACAGGTCTGTTTCTGATCCAAATATGTATGTTTTATGAGCTGGAGGAGCTTTTTCATGTACTTTTTCTTCTGTGTGTGCACTGTAGGATGGTCTGGGAAGTCTGAAGCGCAGTGGGTCGTTTACCAAGCTCCGGGAATCCATAAGACGAAGCAGCGAAAAACTTGTTCGGAAACTGAAAGGAGTTGGAACACAGGAAACAGCTCCTCGAGCTGCTGGGTAATGATATTGTGCTTATTGTTCAGCTCTCGTCACTTTTTATGTAGAAGAGAGCAGTATTTTTAACTACTCGTTTATTTTTAAACAGGATGAAGAGAGCCAATTCTCTAAATGTGCTTAATGTGGGTCTCAAAGAAAGTCAAGAGGCTGCTATGGTAAGTGTTGGGTCTTTGCTTTCAAATTTGCTCAAGTATCTAATATTCACCAAGGCTACATTTGATCATTTATTTTGATACAGTAAAAATAGTCAAATTTGATATTGTGCAATAATTTAAAATGTTTCCTATTTGAATATATTTTAAAATGTAATCTCTGATGGCAAAGCTGAATTTTCAGCAGCATTACTCCAGTCTTTAGTCACATGATCCTTCAGAAATCAATCTAATATGATGATTTGGTGCTCACAACACATTTCTTATTATTATCAATGTTGAAAACAGTTGTGCTGCTTAATATTTTTGTGGAAACATTTATAATGTTACAAAAGATTTGTATTTCAAATAAAGGCGGTTCTTTTGAACTTTCTATTAATCAATTTAATGTATCCTTGCTGAATAAAAATATTTTCTTTAAAAAAAAATCTTAGTGAACCTACACTTTTGAAGGGTGGTGAATAATTTTACAGTAAGCAGGAATTAGTTAGAGATTGATTAACAAATAATAAAAGTCTATTTTGTCTTTTCAGAAGCCCAAGAGGCTGACAGACACACGAGGTCTGAGTTCCAGCACGCAGAGTTTAGCCCGCCGCACGTCTCTAAGCGGTGAGACGGCTAACTTTCAGACAAGCCATATGACATCAGGACTCTGGGGCAATGCAGAGATGTCAACCTCACATCTGACTGGTCTGTAATGACTGCAAAGTTCATATTTGACAATAATATGAGGACTAGTATGTGATGATGAATGCAGGCCTCCCTGAGACTCACACTTCAAAGCAGTCTGTTAAAGTGCTGGAAAAGGAAAGCATACTTTGGCTTTACAAAAATATTTTTTACACTGTGTAAAAATCAGTTCAATCTACTCATTTTAAAAGCCAGTAGCAATGTAAAATGTCAGAAATGTATCATTTATTACATTTTAAAGATAGGGCCATATTTGATAATCAGGCTATCCAATATTACAGCCTTCAGCAGGGTGCAGTTTTTTTCACTAAAAGTGCGGTCACATTTATTTTGCTCAGCAGATTTTTGCAGACAAAATGCGGTCATTACAATAGGAATCCATGCATTCAGGAGTTTCGTGTGAGGACAAGAAAAAGCTCCCCACTCAGGTTTCACTCGTGTTCAGGTTGGTCGCCACGTTGACCAACAGGAAGCTTGTGTTGTGAAAGTCTCTATTTTGTGAGCATAATTCATCGCTGCATTATTGACCTGTTAAATTTCTCCAAAATTATGCTAATGTTACTGCACCTCAACAGTTTACTTAGAATATTGTAGCAATATGTGACAGCTTCCATGTCCTCACACCACCATGCAAAAGAATTATATTTAATTATAATTATAACAATTTGCACTTAAATCTTCATTGCTTCTAAATGTACTTAACTCAAATTCATAACGAATTGTAATCCATGATGTTACATTCCAAGATGAATGTAAGATATGCTGTTGTACATGCTAATTTGTATGGTTCTGAGTTAATATCAACCAACTGTGGTACGACTTGTGCCTATAAAATAAGGGACTTCTGATTTTTCAATTTCAAGCGCATGTTGTACTTTATATTTACACATGCTGTGCTATTGCTTTAGTTTAAGTTCTTTTTAACAATAGGCAGGATTTAATATTAGCAGAATTTCAGGGTACTAATACACAGTATGTAACTTGAATCTAGCTGGTGGATGTAGTTACTGAGCGGTTAGGCATCAGTGAGAAGTTACATAATCTAAACCGCTGTACATGCTATATATTGTTGAATCATGTTACATATTCCATGAGCTTAGGGAATATATTTATATACTGAATGTTGCTGATGAACCAAATAAAATTGTTCTACCTCTGTTAAAATCAAAATGTGTGAAAAGTGTTTTCAGATAATTAGGTGCTTGACAGCTGATACGGACCAATCAATAGCTGGTATCCAACTCCTGGTGTCCTTCAGTTGTTTCCCCTTTAATTTAGTGTGCTTGTGTGCTCTCTACAGCTGCTTTTGAGACAGCATGTTTCTCTTCAAACAGTAAAGAACGACACTGGCTAAAGAACAGTATTTATTAAAACCAGTTAAACTCTCCAAAATGACGTTAAAAATGTTTATGCTTCATTTACATAGCCTTCCTTATATGGTATCAGCCCATATATGGGTTCATTTGAAAGCTTGGGAGTGTCTTCTTTACAAATAATACCATTCCTTTTGGTTTTTATATTCATAAAGCAGTAAAATTAAGCTTTGAAATGTATTCGTCCCACACACGAATTTCCGCCTAACCATTGCGAATAATTTTTACGAAGAATGTGTATTTTATATATTTTTCACAAAAAAGTCAAGTCATATATCACAAGAAAGCTCTCATTCTCAGGAATTTGACGATGTAGATTATTTCATTGTGTGACAATCACAGATCGAATTATCTTCGATAGAACCGCGATGTAAAATTTGGTCACCTCTGAGCGAATTTACATTTAAACTCGTAGCACTGCTTCAGTCAGCCGCAAACAGCCACAAATATCTATATACTCTATATTATCTTTTAGATTAGGATCTCTTCTTTTCAATTCTCTGTGTGTATGTGCTGTACATGTGGAAGAATTGACAATAAAGCAGACTTGAAACTTGAAACTTGAATATTAGGCTTAATTTTGTATCTAGCAAATTTATCTTGATTTAAGAATGTTTAGATATTTGTACTGGAAAAAAGACAAAAATACTGAGGAAGATATTCATTTTTGGCAGTGCATGCAACATTTAATGGCATGACTTTATGAATGTAACACTTTCTGCACCGATTTAAGACCTTTCTAAGGCCTTAATTTATGGAAGGGCGAATTAATACTTTTTAAGACCTGTAGAAAACCTGTATAAAGAAACTGTTCAAAACTGTTAAAGGGACTAGTATCCACCAAAGTCAATGCCCTCTGACACTTTCCCTCTTGCCACTGAAAGCAGAATTGCTCCTCTGCCGTTCTCACAGGCCTGAAAGTGAAAGATAACGAAAGTGATTACTTTAATACAGGGCACCTAAAATAAAGTCAACATTACACAACACGATTAAAGAAAATAGGATTAGGGAGCATTAAAAACCCAATGTCTATTGACCTCTTGATACTTCTCCAGGGCCATGCTGGTCTCAGTGCAGGGTAAACATTTGAATTTGAGTATGTTAAATTTAGGCGAAAATACCAAAAAACGCCCCGAGCTTAAGTGGTTTAATGCTTCTGGGATTGTTGTAGAAAACACCATATTAAAGAATCATTAAAAAAACACATATGCACATATATACATATCTGCCAGACTTTGTTCCTTTTGTTCGCTTTGAGTCCTCAGGCTTGAGCGATCTGAGCAATTTTCTGAAGCATGTCCTCAGACTGCAGTTGTTCCAGGGTCAGCAGAGACAGACCCAACTGATCCTCCTGCCACACAAACATGCCACAAAGACTCTTAATTCAACATCACTGAGAACATGCACCTAACAACCTCATCCCTGCAAACGTGTCATTGTGCTCTCTCTTTTTATGTGCATATGATTTCAACTGGTTTAAATTTAGAAAGAATTTAACTCTAAACTGATTGAATGAACACAGTAAGCATGAGAGGTTTAGATCACTGAACAGGCTGAGGAAGGTTAATGTGTGCGTTGACCTTACCTGTCTGAAGGGCTGGGCCATCTGTCGTAGAAAGTGCTTGCCTAACTGCACAGTCTCATCAATGGTCAGATTTAGGCTTCCATCTGTAAGGTGTTCCTGGATCCAGCGGGGCAGCTTTCCTCGCTTATCCGCTCGTGCATAACGCTGAGGGAAACGCATCAATTAAACAACTAAGAAAAAAAAAAAAAATCATTCTACCTTCTCACTAGTTTACTTACCTTATCTGCAAAGATCATCAGGCCGTAGTCTGTTTTGCCTCGAATGGCTCTGCCCACACACTGAGCCGCATGGCGCATCGCATCAAACGTCAGAAAGTCATTTTCCCGGATTTGAAATTGGTCTCTGAGGTATTCCAGACGTGCCTGATTTAAAGAAAAAAAAACAGGTCAGGGTATTTTTATTAATTACAAAATGAATTCGAAATCTTCAAAATTAGAATCTGGGAGAAACAGCTCTACAAACCTTGAGGATTCGGCTCTGGGTATAAACATATGGCACTCCAAACACGATAACGGCACGACCATAATGATGAACTGGTGGTTGAAAAGAAAAACTGATGAACAAACGTTTACACTTAATTCTTTTAAAGAATTTGATGATTAAAACGGGGTTTCTGCAGGTACATTTTTTTAAGACCGATTAAGACCAAGCAAAGAAAAATTAAAGGAATAAATGAAAGGAGACAAAGAAATTCATCAAAATTAAGTTTGATTAAAACAAGAAAAATTATCTGCCAAAAAGGTCAGAAAGATACATTTAATTTAAAGGGAAAACAAGATTATATTTCTGACCCCATTAGCAGATATTTTGTTTTTGTTTAGCATCAGGGCCATGCTGGTCTCAGCTGCATCCTGGGTTTCTATGAAAATGAGCTTGTTTCTTTGGATGTTCTCTAGGATCCCCTACAAATCCAGCAAGAGAATTAGTTATGCTTATCTAAACAGCACTTTCAATGATCTGAGAAAGAATCAAGTTGTCTCTTCATACCTGTTCGTACCATGAGGCCACAATATTCTCCATGTAAATGTAGCTTGTGAAGAATGCAACGATTCCATCAGGAACAATGGCAGACATTTCCAGCAGCAGGTTTCCATAGTTCCGGATCACAGCTATGGGATGTATTTTAAATAAAACAGTTACCTTTTAACTGCACTCGCAAAATAAAGTCAGTAATACAAACAAAATCACAAAACAACTTACCAAAGTCTTCTCTGGTCTCAAACTTGGAGGTCATCGCTACCTGATCATTCCCTCGGCCAACAATCTGAAAGTTGGAAAAATAATATTGTTTTTATTGAAGGAAATACAGTTCTTAAAACTTTCAAGAATCACAAAATGAATTTAATAAATCGAATATATCAATACTCTCAGTTTCTGTTAATGAAAAAGAACAAGCAGCTTTGTCAGCAGAAATATTAAAAAAAAAATGTGCCTATATGGGGGGCTTCCAATATCGTGTCGGACATCAGGGGCCCTCTGAGTCAAAAAGACTGAAAACCACTGATTTAATGTGTCTTTAAAAGACACCAGTCCAGCATATCTTCATTCAAAACTCTCAATTAAATATGCAAATATTGGCATAATTGCTTTCGTCAAATGGTAAACGACACACAGTTGGATGGCATTGCCAGTCATAACTCACAAGAGGGCACAGGCAGGTTCGTGCCAGTGTCATGGTGAAAGATGCCACAGTGACTGGGCGGAAATCAAGGATGCGTGGGTAGATGTCCAGCGGAGAGAGTGTCTATTCAGAGAGAATCGATAATGATCTTAAATCAAATATTTGCTAAGTTTCTAAAACAAATAACTGCAGAAGATTTAAGTAATATTTGTTGAATATGTTTCGCAATAACACTAGATGTGTAGGCTACTGATGTTGAATGAAAGGTTCCCCATTTTAAACCAATTAACAAGCTAAAGCAAACCCATTTTTAAATGTGGCTTGCACATTTAAGGTGAAAGTGGAGTGTGTCTTACACAGATGGCATGAGTGTTACAGTGGGATTATAATGAAGAGATTAGTGAGCAGGGTGTGTAATCTAATATTCATGGAAAGATGGGGCATATGGATTGAGGAGCGCAGCTTACCCCTGATGTGATAATGACTGATTGAAAGCGCCCAAACACTGGCTTTATGGCGATAGAGGGGTCCATGCAACTGCATAGAAAGAATCCAAAGTTAGTGACAAAGACATTTCATAGAAAACGTGACAAATTGTATTAAAGCAGAATTAATGTACCTGAAGTGAAGAACAGGATTTGCTATTGTCGGTGTTCTATCTTCAAAGGGCTCAATGATGATGGTGAAGCCTAAAAGAGAATGATTACACATAAGAACTCACTTTTGCAGGAAATCATTATTAGATTAAGAAGAGTTTGAGATATTAGTAGTGTTTCAGTGTGGTCACATTAGCGAAATTTCTGAAAAATTTCATGGCCCAAAAAAAAAAAGATAAGATGTCCAAATCAAGCAGCTTTCTGTTGGTCATTGTGACAAATCCTTGTGACCAACTTGAACCCACTGCAAAATTTGCGTAGGGAAATCGTTTGCCCTCACGCAAAATTCCCAATCACATGGATTTCCTTTGGAATTACTGGATTTCTCTTGCGCAAATTTGCAGAAAAATATTTAATGTGACCACAGCTTTATGGTGGGAGGAGGGCAGGACGAGGCTTTGTTACCTTTGTTGTAGGTGCTGACAAGTGTGGCAAAGTGTGAGATCAGGGTAATGGCTGAGAAGTCAGCAATGTCTGCAATCTCCAGCGTCCTCAGCAGTGAGCGCAGCCTCTCGGCACAAAATCTGGTAGTGGATTAAATATACATTTAGGCTGGGGTGAATATGTTTCTTTATTACTTATTAATGACCATCAGTACTTCCAGTATGTGACGACAGAAGAAACGGACTGTTTCTTTTACTCGCCTCAGGGGTTTGCGGTCAATGCAGACCTTCTCATAGATGTCTTTGAGGAATTGAGGAGTGCTCTCCTGCACCACATGATGGATCCGCAAACGTGCCTTCAGGTACTCGAGAAAGCGCTTCATAAAGCCCACAAAGTGCTCTGCAGTGCGGATGCTGCCAGGTACAGCCTCTGTAGTGAGAGTCACATATGTCAACTATATTTGGATACTTAAGCCACACTTCATGAACCAAAATATTGAAACAAATGGGATTTAAAGAAATTTAAAGCAAAATTCTTACAAATTAAATCTGTTTGATTTCATATCATAGAACAGACATTGTATTATTATTGTTCAATCAAGAATAAAAGTATCTGGAGATTTTCTGGTTGTCAAACAGGGAGGATGACTTCATACATCAGCTATAAATTACCTTGGGACCAGCTGGTTGTAAACCATCACCAATATCAGTCTCAGTTAAGTTACTTTTGAGAAATATGACGTGTGTTTGCAGATGGTACTTGGATTGATATCTTGTATTTAATGCAAAGATAGACACTTTTGTGTGACGCAAGTCCAAATACTTTAGGGGTTGTTGTAGATAATAAAACTGACCTTGGAGAATTTCATCTGGCAGAACTGGGTTGGACAGATACATGTCAGTTTCTCTGGCAACATTTGCTTCTGTAAGACCCTCAACTAATCTCCTGTATTCTTCTTGGAGTTTGGCAGCATCTGTTTCTTTAATTCTTTAAAAGAACACAAACAGAAAACAGGAAATTAAAGGCATTAATCATGTAGTAATAAATAAAATACTAATGAATTCACTCTACCAGTATTTTGTCACACCTGCTAATGGTGTTTTGCAGGGTTTCCACATTAGTCTGGCAGCGATCCAGTGTCCTCCTGGTAATGTTGACGCTCATGGAATCAATACACACATTATCTAGAAGAAACAATATCAGCTTAAATAACCATGATCTGTCAACACGATATGGGTGACCATGACAAGCACTGTGATTTTTCTACTCACCGATGTTGTGAGCCTCGTCAAACACAACTACAGATTTCTTTGCAAGCTCTTTCGAGACAAGGTCTGCAATTTTTGGATCTAGTAAGTAATTGTAGCTGTACACTACAATGTTTGCATGAAGAATCTGAAAGAAAAAACATGAAATCAACAACAATGAATTGCATGCACAGCAAACATCCACCATACTAAATCTAGCAAAGTACTCACTGAAGAACGTGCCAAGAAGTACGGACACCAGCCTTTTCTACGCCCAAAATCCTTCAGATCATTCAAGTTATATATACCAGGGGGAATGAGCACCTGTCTGCCTACTGCATCAAATTCCTGCATACAGGGAAATTATTATTTTAATGTTAGTTAAATATTTGATTTACATTTATATTTGAATTAAATATTTTTAAAATATATTTTTAATATTGTGATCAAAGACTATGCAACGCAAATTACAATTTGAAAAAAATAGAATATTTTAAATAAAATGTTTATTATTTTACAACAAATATAAAAAAAACATTTGTTTTAAATCTTAAATGGACGTGATTATTTCATATACTTGAATACAATAAAATATACTGTAATTCCTAGCATACAGGACATCAGGCCTAAAACAAAGTGACTTATGACTAAATTACACATATTGTGCCGGGATTGTGAAGAAAAAAAATGCTAAAAATGCTACAGCATATGCTTGAGAAAAGCTTCATACCTCATAGAACTGGCAGACAGGTTGACTTGGATTACAGTGATGCTGAGCTCGAATATAAGATGCTGTCAGACTGTGACACTTTCCATCTACTTCTTTTCCAAACCGTAGGGAGCTCACCTGTAATCACACATTTACGGGATGAAATTAGACTCAAACTGACTAACGAATGCATGCACAATTATCCATGAACTTGATAAATGTTGCAAATGTATCTTATTAACCACAACCAAATGTCTGTCAACTTGTGTCTGTGAAATTCAGAATTAGCATGAATGTGCAGCGGTTTGTACAAATAGAAACATGTTTGTGAATACAGATGATTTCTTTTGCATTAAAGGAAGATGTGCATTTGTGGATCGAGTGGCACGCGTACATTCATTGGCATCACTTCTGAGTCGATTCTATTTGATTCATTTGAATTTTGAGACTTTCGTTCTGCCCTTTCATTCCACACACAAACAGCTCGCGATCCACATGCAGCTGAGCCTAAGAAAATCAGCGACCACTAGATGGCACTATAGCCCCAGCGGCATGTGCGCTTTTATGAATGGTTTGCGTCGTTTTTTTTTTTGTTTGTTTTTTTGGTTTGGTTATTCTCCTCTGCCCCTTCAAAATATAATAACTCTACATATAACTCTGTAGATAGTGATTTCAGTTAGTATCTTGGCTAATATTTGATCAAACTAAAACACAATAAATTTACTGTTTGCCAAACAAATGTATGACAAACACTTTCAGGGAAACCCAGAGCAGAGCTATTTTACATCAGCGTTTCATTCATTTGAGCTGATTTATATTTTCGTAAGATCTGTGGATAAACTGAAACCCTGAATATTTGCACAAATTATAATTAATTGTATTTCAGTTAAACATTTTTAACTATTTCTAACAGCAGATTTAGGCATGGATGACACACAGACAGCCGGCATGCTTCTTTGCAGCCGATTCAGACTCAGAAAATACTAGTGTAGACTATTAACAAATAATTAAGAGTTTAATTTCATCCCATACACATTCACTTCCACTTAATGAGTTCACAACACAAAAATATTACTGAAATCACACACAAATCTGCTCATTGAGCAGCTTCTACCTCAGGATGAATGCACAGATTTTTCCGTGAAGAAAGTGCCAGTGCAAGGAAGTCATTTTTCGCTTCTGTTTGCTTTGTATAATAATCCATTAGTTTCTTTAGTTCCTCCACAACCTGAGAGGACAACAGAGAGGTTACAGAAAAGACAGATACTTAACTGATGAAAAGCGTAATTGAAAAGCAATTTAAAAATAAGTCATGAATTATGCATTGGGTTATAAAAATGTATATAATGTTGAATACCTTCTCTATCTCAGGCACAGTGCGAGAACAGTAGATAAGCTTTGTGACTTCTAAAGGGTAAGCCTGCAAGACATGAAAATATAAATCAAATTACATGCAGTTATCAGACTGTCATTATAGTGAAGCTTCAAATTATATAACACAGTCATTCAGAAATCCCTCACCTTCTGGTAAGCAACGATGAGGGAAAGAAGAGAAATTGTTTTTCCTGTTCCTGAGGGCATCTCGAGAACTCCATGACCCTTTGCACATATAATAAATGTGGGAAACAGACAGATAGATAGATAGATAGATAGATAGAATCCATTTCTTTGGGGTTTTAAATTACTTTTAACTTTCACTAGGTAATTTAAATGCCCCTGTTGTGAGACAAAAGTAAAAGTACAAATATCCCATGTTGTCTCTAAATGAATATACGACTATAAAAACGGCATGCATGATTGATTGAACTTATTATCTACCACGGTGGAAATTTTCCTTTGGCTTCTCAAAAGAAAAAATAATAATTCTCATATAAGATACTTACACTTACATAATCCATTCAATATTCAAGAATAAATAATAATTCTATATAAATTAAAATAAAATGCAGTTTAAACCATATAGCACATTAGTTTAGTACATTACATTGCATGATAGTTTTGTCCTGGCGTGAAATGTCATGTCAACTACCCATAATGTTGGGTACATATTACATATATGACAATATTAGCTTAATAAATTGATTCTAACATACCTTTGCATCCAGCGTCCTCTTCAGCTCAAGCATGTACGAGTATTGTTCAGGATAAATGTAGTCATACGGAAAGCAGACTAATAATCCGTCGATATTCAGCCTAAATGGATGAAAGAGGAATCAGAGCAGAAAACTTCTGTTAACTAAACAACGGTTAGGAGAATTACCAGTCTGCACATTTGCAGCAATGCTACTAGTCTAGCAATGCACATACTGAAATTTGACCGTTTTACTCGTACAACGTTACATATCTATGGTTTTACTCACTTCATGTTTGCTGGTACTTATACTTTACAGCACTGGTGTGTTTCTCGTAGTCAGTTTTCTATCATTTCAAACATTCATATAGCTGTATATTTTACTGTCATGTGTATTACACAACAGACTTCTATCGAGTTACACAGGCGTTTTTAGTAGCACGACAATCTGTCGCAACTAAAATGCGTAAGGTATTTTGCTTCTATGATTGGTTGTTCCACTTGAAAACCCTCCCCAGTCTGACATCTTATTGGATGATACGCATGTCAATTCAACTTTTTAGCGGAAGTACATTTAGAACCATCGGGGTTAGACCTGAATAATCGAAAAAAATACCTTTTTTTGTGAAGTCTTTCATTTAAATATAAAATGTAAATATAAAATTTATATTTTATATGACTTTAATTTCAATATAAAATTATTTAAAATAATAAATAATAATAATTTTAGGAAATAACATCATTTAGGAATCATTTAGAAAATAATAGTTTTACCAAATTTAATATATGTAAATAAATGTAATTTTTTTATTAAATAATCATTATTTTTATTATAGAGTATATAATAAACATTACATTTTAAATAATACAAGAAAGAAGAAAGAAAGAGAGAGTGAAAGAAAGAAAGAAAGAAAGAAAGAAAGAAAAAGAAAGAAAGAAACAGAATATTTTGTTATTAAAACAGCAGAGGCATGTACTTATATAATGTTTTATTTACATGAACATTTTATTTCATATATTACAATGCAATAAAATATACTGTAATATTATACCCCAACAAAGATAAACCTTTACAAAGTGATTTCCTTTGTACTCATAGGCAGGGCAAATAATTATCTCTTAGATCTCATGTTTTACATATCTGCATAACATGTTTACTCCTATGGAAGGGAAGACCCATTTGGGGTCATTAATTGATAATATTCACCTACATTGACTAAAGTTGATACTTTCTGGAAAGAAATTTACTACATAGCCAAAATCCCAATTCTTTCCCTGCAAATCATAGCTTAATAAGTAATAGCAAATATAAAAATGAACAAATTGTTAGTGCTTAAATATTTAACATATCCAGTTAAGCTAGAATGACCAAAACCCAGCAAAACACTTCTCTTGTAATGTTATCCATTAACGCATTATTTTATGACCGGATCACCTTATGGAAATGAATAGATCGATTGACTGTCTTTTTCAGAGTTGAAGATGTAAAGATTATTGCCAGTTTGTTATAATTATATGTGGATAAAAATGTGTCATAATTCTACAGCATCTGTGGCACAACCAGCTCTTTCATCCCAATTCTTTCAGTGCTTTGAAATAAAGATTAGGTGAGCTGACGCCTATATTACAGTTTCTGAAAGAGTCCCCTTATATCTCATGTCTTTCTTCCACACTCTTATAACGGTCCATGATCCTAAGAACATCCTCTAAAATGGACGGTCCCAGGTCCAGGTCCAAACCCATTAGTGACTCCAAGCGTGACATGCTGGGTGAGATAGCTGGAGATTCACAGTGTTCGCTCCACAGGTCCTCATTACTGAGTCCTGCATCAGAGTCCAGACTCAAGCCTCGTTTTGGGTCCAGTGGACCGCAGCCTTCCGACATGGAGTCATCCGAGGAAGCCTCTGATAAAGAGCCTGTGGAAGGCACCAGGTGCGGCAGGACTGGGATCGAGGTGGAGAGAGTGAGGTCACGGCAGGGATCCCTGTGCTTCCCAATCCCTTCCTCACATACAGACATGGAGCGCTTCTGCGTTGGACTGTGATGGTGAATCTGCTGCTGATGAACAGGGGACGGCTGCTCGTCTAAATGCAGACGGGGGGGTTTAGGAGGTGGTTGCACAGGCGCGATTAATACCGGCATGGAGATGGTGGTTTTGAGGAGAGAATTGTGATGAGAATTATGACTGCGATGGTAAGTGTGGCTCTTGCTGTTCACATCCAAGATCTCATCCATTCTTCTGTCAATGCTGTGAGAACGAGAGCTGGGTGCTTGATTGAGAGCTGGAAGCATGTCGAGTTTGCCTTGCAAGAATCCCACATCGCCAAACATGTCCCCTTCTCCTTCAGGCCCAACATGGGCACTGTGACGCACATCACCCAGCGGCGGGCTTATTATGTCTCCTGAAAGAACGTCCCGTATTTTCTGCTTCTTTCCTCGCTTTGGTGTGGACGTCTTTAAGTACATGGGTGTCTTGGCTGGCATTCTGTTTCCCAGTATTTTGAGTCAAACGTGTGATGATGTTTGTTGCACAAATGGAGAGGAAACTAGTCCTCAGTCTGATATAAGCACTTTCATATCTTTCGGTTGGTTTGTCTCCTTTATTTTACAGCAGCTGTAAGTGACGTACTTTATGTCTGAAACTCTTCAGAAGCTCCTGGAATGTATCATCACAACAACAGACCTGAGGAACAAACAAGGAGAAGAAAGATTTACAACCTGTGAAATTCAAGAGTGGGGTAGTATTTCAAAAAACACAAAGAAAAGCACATATATTTACTGTGCAATTTGAACAACAAAGAAAACAACTCTGTTTTTCTTCTCCCCTGAGCAGAGATTTTCTCTCCAGTCTTTGCAGCTACTTACCAATAAATTACTAACCCTCAGAAATTTCACTCTTTCCACAACATGCTTCTGGATTTTCATGTTTGTTTGGAGTTTCATGAGATATAATAGCAAGGATGTTGTTTGCATGCATGCCTTTATGAGTATATTATGAAAGTGCCTCAGAACATTATTGGCAGTAGAGAACGAGATTACAAATCCACATTCCTGTTCTCCTTTGAAATCCAGCCATTGATAATATTCACCTACATTGACTAAAGTTGATACTTTCTGGAAAGAAATTTACTACATAGCCAAAATCCCAATTCTTTCCCTGCAAATCATAGCTTAATAAGTAATAGCAAATATAAAAATGAACAAATTGTTAGTGCTTAAATATTTAACATATCCAGTTAAGCTAGAATGACCAAAACCCAGCAAAACACTTCTCTTGTAATGTTATCCATTAACGCATTATTTTATGACCGGATCACCTTATGGAAATGAATAGATCGATTGACTGTCTTTTTCAGAGTTGAAGATGTAAAGATTATTGCCAGTTTGTTATAATTATATGTGGATAAAAATGTGTCATAATTCTACAGCATCTGTGGCACAACCAGCTCTTTCATCCCAATTCTTTCAGTGCTTTGAAATAAAGATTAGGTGAGCTGACGCCTATATTACAGTTTCTGAAAGAGTCCCCTTATATCTCATGTCTTTCTTCCACACTCTTATAACGGTCCATGATCCTAAGAACATCCTCTAAAATGGACGGTCCCAGGTCCAGGTCCAAACCCATTAGTGACTCCAAGCGTGACATGCTGGGTGAGATAGCTGGAGATTCACAGTGTTCGCTCCACAGGTCCTCATTACTGAGTCCTGCATCAGAGTCCAGACTCAAGCCTCGTTTTGGGTCCAGTGGACCGCAGCCTTCCGACATGGAGTCATCCGAGGAAGCCTCTGATAAAGAGCCTGTGGAAGGCACCAGGTGCGGCAGGACTGGGATCGAGGTGGAGAGAGTGAGGTCACGGCAGGGATCCCTGTGCTTCCCAATCCCTTCCTCACATACAGACATGGAGCGCTTCTGCGTTGGACTGTGATGGTGAATCTGCTGCTGATGAACAGGGGACGGCTGCTCGTCTAAATGCAGACGGGGGGGTTTAGGAGGTGGTTGCACAGGCGCGATTAATACCGGCATGGAGATGGTGGTTTTGAGGAGAGAATTGTGATGAGAATTATGACTGCGATGGTAAGTGTGGCTCTTGCTGTTCACATCGAAGATCTCATCCATTCTTTTGTCAATGCTGTGAGAACGAGAGCCGGGCATTTGATTGAGGGCTGGAAGCATATTGAGTTTGCCTTGCAAGAATCCCACATCGCCAAACATGTCCCCTTCTCCCTCAGGCCCGACATGGGCACTGTGACGCACATCACCCAGCGGCGGGCTTATTATGTCTCCTGAAAGAACGTCCCGTATTTTCTGCTTCTTTCCTCGCTTTGGTGTGGACGTCTTTAAGTACATGGGTGTCTTGGCTGGCATTCTGTTTCCCAGTATTTTGAGTCAAACGTGTGATGATGTTTGTTGCACAAATGGAGAGGATCAGTCTGATCAGTCTGATATAAGCACTTTCATATCTTTCGGTTGGTTTGTCTCCTTTATTTTACAGCAGACGTACTTTACGTACTTTATGTCTGAAACTCTTCAGAAGCTCCTGGAATGTATCATCACAACTGCAGATCTGAGGAACAAACAAAGAGAAGAAAGATTTACAACCTGTGAAATTCAAGAGTGGGGTAGTATTTCAAAAAACACAAAGAAAAGCACATATATTTACTGTGCAATTT